TACTGTTATGAATCAGGCCACCCCTGTGAAAGGGTCGTTCGACCCCCAAAGAGGTTGCAACACACAGGTTGAGAACCACTGCCTTAGAGGGAAATCAACATCTTACTCTTATCATTATAGCCGCCTCCTTGCAGAAGCCAAAATATGTACTGTGATGCATATTTAAAGCATAGTGTATGCAGGGACTCTCTAGGAATAGAGCTGTGCTGTAAACTAAAGAAGATTCAGCACCTATTGATTTTGGCAGATGTCCCACTCTAAGATGGATTGTCCAGCGTTCCGGGCTGTGGGAGGCAGTTTCCTGATAGGACTCATCAGCTCGTCTTTCCTTGCCTGAAGAGCGTGCAAGTTACCTTGTCACATTCTGAGAGGTCGTGGTTAAAGCGAACTTAGACGGAAGTCTGCTTTCATGTCACAAGATGGCACATTGACATCACTAGGTTGATGCCAGTGGGGCTGGGTGACATTCTCATGGGGATGACACCACGTGACTATCTCTGACATTATTGCACAGTGTTTCATGAAATGCATTCAAGTCTATAAAAACATCACTGAAGTCAGTGAAAACAACAGAAAGAATTTCGTAAGCCCAGCTTGCATGAGTCCATGTGCCTACAAGGCCAAAGGCTACGCTGATTCACTCTTTGAGCCCTTGTCACGTGTCAGGTCCGAACTGTGGTCTTTACTCAATTACATGGACACGCCTGGTCACGTGGTTTCCTCTGCATGGGCGCTATAGGCCTACGCTGTTGTCTTCTTTGCTGCCCGGATTTGTCTGGTCTCAGGATTTGTCCAGTTTTCTGGTGTTTTCACATAATATGCTGGCATTAGCACTTGTGAACCTGTATCTGTGAACTCTATTGTGAACCCATATTTGTAGGCTTGTGAAAGAATGAAATAGAAAAAAGAAATGAAGGGAAAAAATTACAAAGGCTCTTACTCCAGTAGTACTCATAAAGTACTGATTCATCATAGAAAAATCTGACAACACAAACTATTATGTTGTTAGTATAAGTGTCATGTACAAAATATCAAACTTCACCAATTTGCAACTATATTCATCACATTATTTTGTGTTGAAAAATTGGCAATGCACATTTCGAAGATTCTGTACGGTCTGGAATGGGAAGAGGGTCATGGAGGGTAGGGTGGGACACCCTGAGTTACCAAAGTGGGTGGCACCACCTCTACCCTGGGATGGTGTAAGGTTATAATGACGGTAGGATAGCTCTAAATTCTCAAGATTCAACTGGGTCAGAGCTCGTTTTCCAAACGCAGTATGTTAGAAAAGATAGAAGCCGAAACCTGGGCTGCCAGATACTGTTCCTTGTGTGATGGCTTCAGAAGTTCTCGTGTTATAACAGAAAAAGTTTACACTTGGGACTCACAACAGTTACAGCTTTTAATAGAACTTTAAACAGAACATAGCTCAGGAAGAGAGGGAGATAAATTAAGGCCAGGTGATACAAGGATGGGCGAGATGGCTCTTGATTTCAGATGGTGCTGTTCTGAAGGAAAGGTGTCATGGGACCTGTGGCAACCCATAGTAACCAGGTGCACGACAGAAGGAAACCCTGCTCAGCCCCGCGCCGGCCTCACGATTGTTCCTGCGCCTGAGCCCATTGCTGAAGCCACTGTCAGTGCAGCTCGTCGAGGGCCTCGACTCTGTCTGATGTCATGCCGTCTCCAGGGACTGGTCTTTCCCAACAACACGTCCAAAGTTTGTCCAAAGTGTGGGGCAGTTTGGGTTTATTGTTGTTAGTTTCTGTCTGGTCGATTCTGACTAATGGGGACCCCAAAGTGAAAGTTCACTGGACGGACTAAGTGAGCAAACACCATGAACGAAGCCTTGTTTTATTTTCCTTGTTTCCAAACAGTAGAAATCTTGTGGGTTTTAACAGGGAGAGAGGAGCTATTTCGAGAAGGGCTTGGTTATGACTAGGATTTTGTAACTAAAGTCATGAGCAGATGGAAGGTAAGCCCCATCCTTCGCTGACAGGGGAAGGAAGGTCTAACGGTGACTGCCACCAGGGGAAGTAGTAAGGAAGCCACCACTTGACCTTGTCTTCCGATGGCCTTTCAGTCTGGAATCCTGCCCTAGGAGGGCTCGACTTAAGCAGACTCTGTTCATTGAGAAGAGTGTGGTGTCCAAACAAAAGAGTTATTTAACTCTGCATTTGGTGTGACTGGCATCAAGGTCTCTTTTATCCTGCTTCACAGTAACACCCAGAATCTATATGTAGGCCTGGCTGTTTTATGAATGAGTTCAAAGATGCCCATAGTTTCCTGTCATGCCTACTTTTCTTTGTAATTTAGCAACTGTAATTTTGAGTGATAATTTATCTTTTGCACAGTAATTTAAGAAGCTGACTTCTTCCCCTTTCCTTCCTTTAGGAGCACTGAATCAAAAGAATTGGGGAAAGAAATACCCGCTGTGTAACAGCCCCAAACAATCGCCCATCAATATCGATGAAGATCTGACACAAGTCAATGTGAATCTTAAGAAACTTAAATTCCAGGGTTGGGATAAGCCATCTTTGGAAAACACATTCATTCATAACACTGGGAAAACAGGTAAAATATATTTATTTCTGTGTGTGACGTCAGTATGTTTCGTGGAAGTAGACTATGTTTCCATGAGTTACATCTCATCTCCCTGCAAGTCATGTAAGATAAGTGGAAGAAAGCTATTGAGAGTACAAACTAAGTGGGATCAAGAACACTGGAAACACAGACAACCTTTTGAAGATGTGTACCAGAGGTCAAACAACCCACCTTCTCTTATCCTTCCTAGTCTCCTCTAAGGTGCAGTTATGAAAGTTAAATACAATAACAATAATACCTCCACTAGCAGCTGTGATAAAGACAATATAATATATAGTGAGTGCATTTTAATAACTCCATCGCTGGTCACTTAATCATTCAGGCGTTCTTTTTTGTTAGATATTCCATTTTAGTTTTATCTACGTCACCTCACGCTGTGTTTAGCACTTGGATATGAAAACAGCAGTAGCTGGAATTGATCTTTAAGAAAGAAAAGTACCAATGACTCTGTATATTAAGATTTAAAATCTAGCGGTCCTTAATGCTTGCTTACTTTTTTGATCCTATCTTTTTTAGAATATAAAAAAATTTAATATCACAAAACATACGTTTCTACCACCACCCCAGCCCCACCCCACACACACACCAAAAAAACAAAAAAAAACTTCAGTAAACTATGGATGAATAAAATAGTTTTGGGCAATGAACACCTTAGCTTTTATTTTCAGCAAATTCAGCTCTTTGTTAGTATGCTGTACAAAAACAAATGTACATAGGAAAAAACATTCAAAATGGTAATAGTAGTTATTTCTGTCTGATTATCTCATGCATGAAATGTCACAGTATTTCCAAGTTCTTGTAATATAGCTACTTAAATGTAATTTAACTTTGAACCCCATAAGACTCCTTGTGAGACCTACACAGAGTAGAGCACTGCTCTACACTCGGACCCACATAAGATCACCAGGACTCACATTCAAGCTGACGGCAATCGATTTTAAGTATCTTGTGCAAAAACTATAAAGTTCAGCTTCCCAAGCTGCACATTGGTGATGTTTTGACGTCTCAAACGAATGTTTTTTAATGTCCCTTAGCTGGAAGGAGATTCCGTGGAAATGTGTTGTTTTAAGTTTCAGAAACTTAGATGCAATTTTATTGTTTGCTATTTTAGTGGAAATTAACCTCACGAATGACTACCGTCTCAGTGGAGGAGTTTCTGAGACGATGTTCAAAGCCAGTAAGGTAACTTTCCACTGGGGAAAATGCAATATGTCATCTGACGGATCAGAACACAGTTTGGAAGGACAAAAATTTCCCCTGGAGGTAAGCCAGTCGTTCCACTGGTTATCATTTCATTTTCTGAAGCCCTGAGCTTTTAGTTAGCATATAACTTGATTAATTTATAATGCAAATATTATCTTTTATGCAGCTATATTTCAGAGGATTACTATCCCTTTTTTTCAAAAGACTAACTTCCATGTTAAGACTCAGTTTTTATTTTTGGCCCATTGGTAACTTACAGTACCACACGGAAATACCAACTGTTCATGAATACATTATTGAATGAAATTCTTTCCTAGCTCAGTAAAGGTAGAAAGGGGGGAGATTTTATCCCCAAAATGAAAAATTAGACAACTGGAAATTCAAATGAGAAAAAGAAAGGTCAACTTTAAAATTGGCAAAGTTAATACAAATTATAATAAACAATGAAATTATTGTAATAAATAATGAAAGTAAAACTTTGGTTACATAGAGTATAAGTGGATAGATACATAGAGTATAAATGGATAGATTATCTGTGAAGGAGTTTGCTTGCTTTGATCAAAACCTTTGATGTGTGTGTATATTCTCAATACTTATTTCAATTTATAGCAATTTAGTCTTTAGAAAAGGCTGATAGTAATCACTGCCTTTTGTTTTTTAAAAAAGGTTATGTACAAAAATTTATTTAGCACACTAAAAATTTGAAACAAAAAGCAGTGATTAAATGCACGATCATAAAATCTTGTAAATTCTGTTTTTGAATGACATAGTTATAAGAAAAAGATGCATTGTAAAATAGTACATTTTAAAAAGCCAAATACAAAATGGCTTCATTATTCCAATTTTGTATGATACCCAAACCAATGAAATAGTACAGAATCGAAGCCAATTGGATGGAATTTGACTTCACATGACTCCACCGTTTGGCTTAGTTACATGGCATGGCATTGTACAAAATGGTTAATTTATTTAAGCTTCTACTTTCTCTTTTACAAAATGGACACGATATTTGTCAACCTACCTTTTAAAACTATTTACCAGGATTATATGTGAGAATAAATGATCCTGATTATAAAAACAACTGAAGAGACTGTTGACACGAATCATCCATCAGTGGGGGCATTGTAGCTGCCTCTTACGTCCTTCTTTACAGTTTCTCATATGTTCTACATGACTGTGATGCAGCTACCTCACCTTCATAATCCAAAGTAGCTTTTGAAAACAAAAATCAGAGTGGGCTAGCTTGAGCTTTAAATGACTATAACCATTTTAGGATTGTAAAAGATCCTTCCAAATTCAAGACATAAAGTTTTTTTGACACATTAAATGCACTTTTAAAAGGGGGCGTTAAATTTGGTTTGCAAAAACAAAACCCTACTTATTAAACAAATAGCATCTCACTCTTGGAGCGTAGCTCCTTTACGGTCTTAACTAGTTGAAACAAAGATGAAAATTAAGAACCTTGGAAAAGAGAACAAAATAGCCGAACCCACACAAAGAGCCCCTAACAATAGCGACAGAAAGTGCTGAGCAATCAGTTACCGCTACTGAATTTATGGACTAAATCTCACATATTTTCCTTTTTCATACGCTTCTCAAGCCCGATCGCAGAGGAGGTTTCTTTCTTTCTTTCGTTCTTTGATTTTCAATACTCTAAACCACCCTCCGTATACAGAACTCAAAATCATTTTTAATAAAGAACATTCTTACTGTCAGAGAGATGGTGGAACCCTGATCCTCCGACTGCCTAGCCACCTTTCAAGGCTGGAACTGAACGCACCCCTTTGCTCAATTCTCAAACAACAGTTAGACCTAGAAAGGGGCAATTAACGCTTGTAAGATATATTCACCTTATTATCATCAGCTGTTTGGGCTCAAAAGGGCAACATTTACCCAAGAGCAAGATTCAGAGGGGCTGGAAAATAAGGAGGAGTGGCAACGAGAAGCACAATTGGGAAGCAGAATAAGTGATAAGTGAAGGTACCTGGTTGGGGCCTGTAATTAATGGTGTGCAACAAAATGTATATGAATTGCTGAATACAGATCTTTGAAAAGATTTTGCTGCCCCTCCTACATGTCAGGGGCTATTGTGATCCTCTGCCGCACCCCTTGTCTTCCCCTATTTTAACACAAGCCACACTTCATATTCCCAGAGACTGTCTTGCTAAATCTGTCTCAATTATAACACCCAGTTTGCCTAATTTTCAAGCCTTCCGCATGAAATGCGTCCAGCTCTGAGTTAGGATGTCGCTGTTGGCATTCGATTAGGAGCCATCGATTGCTTTTGTCTCTCAGGAAGCCCAGGCGATAAAGGTTTCTTGGCTCGACCTTTATGGGAGCAGATGATCCAATCCTTCTCCATCACAGTCTGTGCGGGGGGGTTTGAACTGCAAATCTTTTGATTAGCCTTCAAATGCTTAATCGTTTGTGCCATGAGGGCTCCTTACAAGGGCGATAAAGGGCTGTTGTAGTGCTATACATACGTAGACTGAAGAAGAAATTAATTTGAGATAGTGTCACAGCAAGAGAAGAAATTAAAATTTTGGAATTTAGAACTTCCAGTTTGGTTTGGGTTGAAGCAACAAACCCTTCAGGGTTTCACTTCGTGTCAGCAAGAGCCCTTTGCTGCATTTTGGAGTAGCTCAGAATCACCCAGAAAGACATACATTTAAGCAGAATGAAAACCTTGTTTGAAAATTTTCCAGTAAAATAGAACAACACTTGGTAAGCAAGATATCTGCTTTCGTAAATGACTACTTTAGTAGCCCCTGGTGCATCCAAGTAAGAATTTGGAATATAATGTGTGTGTGTGTGTATCTATGTATATACAACACTTAAAGGCAAGGAAAGGTTTATACATGGAGATTGAAACTTAATCTTTGCCATTTATACCTCCTTATCCACTAAAGGACAATAGATGATAGTAAATTTCCTGATATAAACATATAATTGATAAAAGCTACTTCAATGTTACACAAAACTGAGAATTACACAATCTATAGACTTCTCTAATTGAGTATATCAAATTGGTAAATTACTTTATTAAGTCTCTTTGCTGGTCTTTATGAAGTCTTTGTATATGATAAAGATATCATTGTTCTATTTTCAGATGCAAATCTACTGCTTTGATGTGGACCGGTTTTCAAGTTTTGAGGAAGCAGTTAAAGGAAGAGGGAAATTAAGAGCCTTATCCATTTTATTTGAGGTGATCGTTATATATTGATTTAGCACTAACTTAATTCTATTTTTGATCACTTGATTTACATTGCTGTAAAGTATTAAGACACAATTTTTCATAAATAGGAGAGTTCACAATGGGAATGATCACAAGTGGTTATTTTCAAAAGCTCTCCCCTAGCTTCTTTGTGTCAAAAGGGACTCTTTATTCATTAATTAAGTAGGTCACTTCCAGCTAGAGACAATTAGTTAATCCATGTCTGCTTCTGTGTGTACGCAGCACGTCATTATTATATAGTGCTGTGAAACAGAACATCGTAAAATTTATTGGTGAAAATGTGGATGTTGAGTTTTCTTTTTTTATTATTTTTTTGTTTTTATTTTGCATCTTTTGACCATGCTGTAAAAAAAGCCCTGTTTGTTTTAGAGCACATAACTTTTGAATATTTAACATGGAATACATCCTTCATGACCCCAGCCTCTAACCTTGAAGTCAGAAAACTTCGATGGTGTCCGACCCCTCTGCTGGCCACTCTGAAAGGGAAAATCAGAGGTCCTGGGTAAAGTGAGAGAAAAATATGGAGAAAACTCAAAATCACTAGAAAGACCAGGCTTCCTTGTTGGATACAAATTGGTAGAACCCCTGAGACTGTCACCCTCAGTTACTCTCAGGTCTGGAAGTTCAATTTTCAGCAAATCTATTTGGTGCATAATAATCGCAGGGGAGTAGGAACTCTTTGGGGTGGAGTGGGGAAACGTATACCCCATGGGCCATATAAGTCCAGAGAAATCACCAATGCCAACTGGCATGGCACACCTCACCAAAGGGAATCCATTCTAGCCATCACGTGGGTGGTGAGTTAATTAAATGCCCCATCAGAATGGCCCGTAAATGATTATGTATCCATATGGCCTTTGGAAGGATTATATATCACCCCGGCCTTAGAACAATTAACCATAAGAGATGAACAGGGCAGCATTTATCCACTGATGAAGCTCAGCTGGCCAGTGGGGATAGGAAGAAGGGCAAGGGGAAATTGTACACACCAGGGGGAATGGGGCAGAGTGCTGTCCATTGTGGGGATGGCAACCAATTACACAGAACAATAGTGTGTGCGTTGTTGAATGAAAAACGAAGTTGCTTTGTAAACTTTCACTCTAATTACCATTTTTAATACATAAATAATTGGGGATAATTAATTAAATGGAATAGGGCAGCCTTTACATTTTTATTGAATCGTTCATATTTTATCCTGGTTTTAGAAGGTCACTCTTCTTTAACAGGTTGGACTAGAAGAAAACTTGGAGTACAGAGCAATCATTGATGGAGTGGAGCGGGTTAGTCGTTTTGGTAAGTTACTTGGAGAAATACCTGTTTGCAAGATTCTAGGTTGGACACTTGGGAGTTTTTACAAAACTATAAAAATCATTTGCTCTCAAGGTGGAGATAAGTACATTTTGAGTTCTCCAGCTTGACCGTTTACCTATTTCCACTCAAGGATCATTCACCAGGAAAGGTGACCATATACAATTCATCAAATGTGAATAAAATGAGATTTAAGTTTTCCATTTTTTTTCTACAAAAGAATGGAATCATAATGCATTTAACATGTATTTATTGCTCTGCTTCAGCACTGTGCATTTCTGTATCCCTAAAGACTAACTTCTGGTTGGAAAGCAGTGACTGTTTCAAAAATCGTACTTTTTTTTTTTAATGAAAGAGGAATTTTTACTCTGGTTAAGATATATTCCTGGTGGCTTTCTTGGTAGCTGTTTTTGCTTTAAAACATTAAAAGATGAGCTTCTTGGAAGCAGGTGACTGCATACATAAATGAGATGAGGTGCGCTTTGATGCTACTCTGCCGGGTAACTCATGCATCTTGTCATTTGTCACAGCAAATGCTTTTGACAGCACTGGCAACAGGCAGCAGACCTGTGATTACATTTATTGTATTTTCCTTAAGCTCCCATATTCAGAGTACAAAAACTAAATGAGGATGGCTACTCTCCTGGAAGCTGCACCATTTTAAATCAGAAATGAGAGTCATCTAGATTCTTTTTTTTTTTTTTGAAAGCAGAAGCCAGGCCCAAGACAGATTCATTTTTGTCAACGACATGCCAGGATCTGGTTGGGTTGAACTTTTCAAAGTCAGGAAGATGTGCCTTCCCCACAGAGCAGCTTTCTCTCTTCTCTGTTGTTCTGAAAGGTGCATTCATCCATATAGACTACAAGGATCTATATGTGACCTCCTCCCTGGGGGACGGACAACAGAAAAGTGGGTGA